GAAACAACCTCTCCACATCTATCCCGTCAAGTCCCCTAAGAATCCGAATGTTTCAATAAGGTCAGCTCTCATTCTTCAAAGCTCCAATGAGTACAAGCAAAACCCACTAAATGTCTCCACATAAGACAGCCCCTCTGTACACGTGATCAGTCAAATGAAATTTCTCTGGACTGCCTCCAGTGTCAGGATATTTTATTTTAGATAAAAGGACGGACCAAAATTATTCACAGTATTTTGGCTGTGGCCTAACTAGTGCCTCACGTATTTTCAGCAAGCCTTTTTTTGTACACTATACCCATTGAAATAATGTCCAACATTCCACTTGTCTTCCCTAATACCTGCTGAATGTAGATGCTAGCCTTTTGTGATTCATGCACATGGACTCTCAAATCCTCCTGTTGTCTTGCTTTCTGAGCTGTAGCTTTTAAATAATATTCAACTACTCTATTCTTCATGCCAAAGTACATAACCTCACCCTTTTCCACATTATATTCCATCTGCCAAGTTTTTTTGCCTGCTCACCTAACCCGTCTGGATCCCTCTGCAGACTGTTTGTGTCATCCTCACCGCTTAGCTTCCCACCTATTCTTATTTCATCTGCAAACTTGGCTACAGAGCATTCACATTAATTTGTACTGCCAAACAATTGCAGCCCTCGCACTGATCCCTGTGTTACAGTTACAGGTTGTCAGCCTGAATACACAACGCCCCCAATCCCATATGTCTGGTTTCTATTAGTTAGCCAATCCTCTCTATGCTAATAGACTGCCTCCAACGTCATGGACTCTTATCTTATTAAGTAGCCTAACATGTGGTACCTTATCAAAGCCCTTGTTGAAATCCAAATATTACATCAACTGCTTCCCTTCCAGCTATGCTTCTTGTTAGAATTCTAGTAGATTTCTCAAGCATAATTTCCCTTCATGACGCCATGTTGACTCTGTTTGATCATATTATGCTTTTCTAAATGCTGTGCTATTGCATCTTTTATGATAGACTCTAACATTTTCCCAATAACAGAAGCTCAACTAACTGGCCTACAGCTATCTGTTCTTTGTCTCCTTCCCTTTTTAAATAAATGTGTTATATTGGCAGTTTTCCTCTCCACTGGGACTTTCTCTTAAGGATCTGAGGACGGCTGGAAGATGACTTATCGGTGCTTGCATTATCACTGTAGCTACTTTCTTTAATATCCCAGCATGCATACCGTCAGGGTTTTAGTCCCATTAGTTTCCCTAGAGATGGTTAATGTGTTTATTTTCTCTCTTCCTTTTGCCCCTCGATTACTTATTATTTTTGGAATGCTATTTGTGATTTCACAGAATCATAGAATCCCTACAGTGCAGAAAGAAGCCATTTGGCCCATCTAATCTGCATTGACTCTCCAAAGAGCATCCCACCCAGACTCAGCTTCCCACTCTATTACCATGGCCCCATATTTACCATGGCTTACCCACCTAGCCTGCATGCCCTAGACACTACAGGGCAATTTAGCATGACCAATCCACATCTTATGCTGCCCATCTTTGGATTGTGGGAGGAAACCGGAGCACCCAGCGGAAACCCACACAGACACAAGGAGAACGTGTAAGCTCCAAGCAGACAGTCACCTGAAGCTGGGATTGAACCCGAGTCCCTGGCGCTGTGAGGCAGCAGTGCTAACTGCTGAGACACAGTCTGTGTAGACTGATGCAAAGTACTGATTCAAATCCTCTGCCATTTTCTGGTTCTCCAGTGTTAATTTCCCACTTTCATTCTCTAAGGAACTCAAGTTCTCTTTCTCTTCTCCCTTCCCTTTTATATATTTCATGAAGCTCCTGCTGGCTGTCTTGATATCACTTTGCAAGTTTACCCTCAAAGTTTATTTCCTCTCTATCCTTTGTGGGCATCTTTTTGTTTTTAAATCTTTTCCTAATCTTTGCCACTTTGTATGCTTTTTTTCTTTCAATTTGATGGTATCCTTAATTTGGCTGGTTAATCAGGGTTGGCCAATCACTTTCCTAAAATCCTTCTTTCTCACTGAGATACGTCTTAGCATGTGAGCCATGAACTATTTTTTCTCAACTATCTTTGCTGCTAAACTCCTTACCCAGTCCACTCCAACTATCATTGCCCTCATTCCTTTGTAATTACCCTTATTTCAGTTTAGCAAAGTTGTTTCTGACCTAACTTTCTCGCACTCAAACTGAATGCTAGATATTATCATTGATGTTCACATTTGCTCCTCAAATCTCTTGGTGATTTTGCCGAAGACCTTAAACAGTCCTGCAATCCTTTTATGATCAGCTAATGAGAACCACTTTTATCTACTTTGTCTAACTGTCTCATAAAGGCCTCTATCAAATCTTCCCTCAATCTCCTTTGCCACACTGAGAACTGTCCCAGTGTTTCCAAGTTCCTGATACCCCAAAGCATGTAACAGTATCTAGAAAGCATAATTCAGTCCCTTTACCACTGATGCACAGTGCCAGTAAAGTGTACCGTCTACAAAATGCACTGCATTAATTCACCCAAACTCCTTAGATAGCACCTTCCAACTCCCAAACTTCTGCCACCTTGAATGGGCTGCAAACACATGGGAACTTTCTAAGCCGCACATCATCCTGACTTGGAAATATATTGCAGTTTTTTTCACTGTTGCAGGGCCAGAATCCTAACTCCACCCCCACCTCCCCTGAACAGCATTGTTGGGGGGTGGGGGGGTTCTCTACAGCAATTCAAGACAGCAGCTCACCACCACCATTTTAACATTTTAAGGGCAATAAATGCTGGACCCAGCCAGTGGCTCCCACATCCCATGAACAAATAATAGAAGAAAATTAACCTTACAAATAAAATTCCTCATTCTTTCAACTATTCTGATAGATCTCCTCCACCCCCTGTCAGGGACCCTCCCATCCTTCACCAATGTGTGGTGATCTCTGGTTTGCACAGACCCAGATGAGCTTTATTCCTGACAATTGCATGTGACGTCACCCATTCACTGGGGATTTCCTCAACCATGAGATTTTTCCTCTGTCTCCCGTGCTTCTCATATCATTCCAGCTGCCGGCTCCGCCAGGAGATGTTCGAATTCAAAACAATGAAATTGTTTCAGAGATAAGTATTTTGAGCATTTGTCTACAAATTTTGAATTTCTTGTGCAGTGCTCCACGGGAGGTTGCATGGCTGTGGAGGTGGTGTGGCTCCTTTACTGTAGATCTTTTCTGGAATTGGGAGGGCATAGTCTGAGAACTAGACCGAACTATTTGGGGGAGATGTTAGGAAGCACTTCTCCATACAAATGGTGGGAAGTGTTTGGAACTCTTCCACAAACGGCAATGGATCCTGGATCGGTTGTTAATTTTAAATGGTATATGGAGTTAGGACACAGATCAGCCACAATCTCGTTGAATGGTGGAACAGGCTGGAGGGGGCTGAATGGCCTACTGCTGTTCCCTAGAATCAAGCCATTGCTCCACTTCAGCTGTGCTCTCCCTGATCACATCTCTGACTTTGTCCCACTTCTTCTCCCTCTGCCAATGGCAAACATGGGCCAGGTTTTGTATCTCTCTGTTACTTCTGCCAACCATATCAACTTCCGATTTCCACCATTCCCCAGCAAAGCGTTGGTGACTCACCAGTTTTATCTTTCTGTCTTTCCCTGGTCAGGGATTTTTTTTTGCACTACGGTCAAGTTTCTCTTCCACTTCCAAACTTGCGTTGACCATCGGATTCTGAGGGGGCTCGGCAGTGTGGATGTTGAGGGGGAGGGGATGTTTCTACAATTAGAATCTTGAACCAGGGAATGTACAGAATAAATAGAAGCTCAATTAATACTTAAATATGAAGGTTTTTGTTTTCTCCCAAAGGATAGTGCATGTCTGGAATTCTCTACTCACGAGAGTTGTGGAGGCTAGGTCAGTGAAGGTATTTATAGAGGAGGTAGATAGGCTTTTGAAATATCAGAGGATTGAAGAATATGGGGTACTAGCACAAAAGAGGGCTTGGGACCTGCTGCAGATCAGCCATGATATTATGGAATGGTGGAGAGGTTTCAGGTTCTAAATAGACTATTCATGCTCCTACCCCTTACATTCTTAAAAGGGCCACAGTCATAGAAGCCTACAGCAAAGAAAACGGCCCTTTGGTCAACTGAGTATGCACCAGTCAAAAACAACCACCTCACCAATCTAATCCCATTTACAGCACTTGGCCCGTACTCCCATATTGACTTGGCATTGCAAATGCACATCTAAATACTACTTAAATGTTACAAGGGTTTCTGCCTTTACCGCCCTTACAGGCAGAGTGTTCTGGGTTCCCACCACCCTCTCGGTGAAAAACAATTTCTTCCCATCCCCTCTGAACCTCCTGCCCCTTGCCCTAAATCTATACCCCTCTGATCATTGGTCTCTCCCTCAAGGGGAAAGGTTTCTTCCTGTCTATGCCTCTCATAATTTTAGACAGCTCAGTCATGACCCCAAGGAAAATAACCCTAGTCTGTCCAATCTCCCTTCATAACTAAAACTGTCCAGTTCAAGTAACATTGTGGTAAATCTCCTCTGCACCCTCTCCAGTACAATCACTAGCCTACAATTTTGTGGATTCCAAAACCACAAGCAATACTCTAGCTGCGGTCTAGCCAACATTTTATATGATTCAGTCCAAAAGATTTCATAATTGTTATTTCATTGTACTAGCCCCACAAAGTACCACGTCCATTCAGTTTAATTTCACAATGCACCTTTGTGTTTTTTGAGTGTGGTGTCTCAATTTCCTCTTTCCGTTTTCGATCAATTTCACAGCGTATTAAAACGTGAGGATTTTCCGTTCGGAGAATCAAATGAGCCATCACATCAGGATCTATTGGATTCAGCCAGATTATTGTAACCGAAGCCTCACCCGGATTGGAACATGGAAGAAACAAGCACCGTTCCCGGTGCCGAGAAACTGTACACGTGTTCTGTGTGTGGACGAGGCTTCGCTAGATCATCTGACCTTTCAGAGCATAAATGCAGTCAGGACGGGGGGAAACCGTGGAAATGTGCCGTCTGCGGGAAAGGATTCATTTCTCCATCCAAGGTTGAAACCCATCGACGCAGTCACACGGGGGAGAGGCCGTTCACCTGCTCCGTGTGTGGGAAGGGCTTCACTCAATCGTCCAACCTGCTGAGACACCAACGGGTTCACACTGAGGAGAGACCGTTTAAGTGCCCCGAGTGTGGGAAGTGCCACAAAAGCTACGACGAACTGACGTGCCATCGGCGGGTTCACACCGAGGAGAAGCCATTCGGTTGCCCTCACTGCGGGACTGGGTTCAGGCGCTCGTCTGACCTCAGTGTACACCGGCGGGTTCACACCGGGGAGAGACCGTTCACCTGCTCCGAGTGCGGGAAGGGCTTCGCTCAGTCGTCCAACCTGCTGACCCACCAGCGGGTCCACACCGGGGAGAGGCCGTTCTCCTGCTCCCAGTGCGGGAAAGGCTTCACTGCTTCGTCTGTTCTTCTGGCGCACCAGCGGGTTCACACCGGGGAGAGGCCATTCACCTGCTCCGAGTGCGGGAAGGGCTTCACGTCCTCGTCCACCCTGCTGACCCACCAGCGGGTTCACAGTGAGGAGACCCCGTTCATGTGCTCTCACTGCGGGACTGGGTTCAAGCACTCCTCTCAACTCATTGTACACCAGAGACTTCACAGTGGGGAGAGACCATTCACCTGCTCCGAGTGCGGGAAGGGATTCACTCAGTCATCTCACCTACGGAGGCACCAGCGCGTTCACCAGTGAATGCAGTGATCAAGTTTTGTTGTTATTTCAGATGCTGGAAGGATTTATAATTGATAAGGAGACAGATACACTATTTGACTTTAAAGTTAAGAAGGCGTTGAAACCATTAAGATACAATCACTGGCAAATGAGAGTGAAAATCATGCAGTTGGTTGTCAGAATTTTTCAATTTTGTTTGCAAAATGTCAGAGGACTGGAAAATTGCAAACATTGTGCCCTTCTTCAAAGCAAAAATTGGGGTCAAGATAAGTCGATGACCTGCAGGCCACTCAGTTTAGTTTGGGTTGTTCAGAATCCTCTAGAAACAATAGTTTGGGACAAAATTGGTTAAGACAATTTTTTGTTAGAATAGGGAGAGCTAGCATGAATTTATGAGGCAAAGGTTTTGTTTAACCAACTTGCTAGAGATTTCTTTTTGAGAAGTAAGAGGATTGATCAGACACATTCTGTTTTGTACTGCATGTGGAATTCCAAAAGGCTTTTGATACAGTGCCAAACAACAGACTTGTGAGGAAATTTAGAGATCATGGAATAAAACACAGTAACAACATGGATACAGAATTGATTGAGAGGCAGTAAACAGAGATAAGTGGTTAATGGGTGTTTTTTTTCAAGGTGATGGAAGGCGTGTCGTCCAGTTCCTTAAGGGTTCAGCATTGACAGTTACCTTTCCTATCATTATTTTGTCATGAATTGGTTTAAAACCAACTTTCACACACATCTATAATGATTCGGTGACTGTATTTAAAATACAACCTAATAAAGATAAATGCTACAACCATATGATTGGACAAAGCAGTAGCCTCCTAGAAACTTCTTTAGAAGTCAAAGTGGGCTGCAGAATCAATGTACTTCCTGATGGGACGGGAGTATTAAAATATTATGCTAAAAACTATGATTGAGATAGGATTCAAATGAGTGTAAGTTACCCCTATCCTGTAAAACGATGTTAATTTCCTCACATAATCTCTGAGATGAGCCATAGGCAGTTTTTTTTCCCCCCAAAATCTGCAACACAAGCATCTGTCTTGATAACTGTTCACTCCAACGCTGACCAAGGAGTCTTGATCACATAACTCCCAAAGTTTGGAGCTCAGTTATTTTGAAACATTTGTCAATCACAGGGTCAATGTTACTTCATACAACATCTACTGACAGTATCAAAACCCCTAACTTCGCTTTGTAGCCTGGTCCTGTTTTTATGTTCTCTGCTTGTTATAAAGTTTCTTTTATCAACACAGCAAAATAGAATTGACATTTCAGCAAAATTCTTCCACCTCTGAAAGAATTTTATAAATAAGAAATATCCATGGACTTTTGAACTGCCAGCTAGACAATCAATGAGCCCCCTCAAAGGAATTCCAGACTGCTAACTCCAATTTTGGGCTTTTGGACTCCACCTTAAATGCAAAGATTTTGATAAATTGGTATCCGTTCATTGTTTTAGAACTTTTAGGCTATTGCTAACTGGATGATCTGTTTTTATTATTATTATTTGTATCTCTCCTTGCATGTTTGTGAGTGTGTCTTTATTTCCAAATCATCTCTCCCATCCACTCCCACCCCACCACCCCCCCGCCACTCCACCCCACATCCAAATAGTTTGAAATAAACCTTACTTCTCCTGTAGTTCTGCTGCTGTTCTTACAAAGTCAAGCAAAAAGCGTGTGGAAACATGCCACAGCTATTCAAATTGGGGGATGAAAATAATCTGTTTCTGGCCAGGTTGTGGAATACAGAGGAAGATTAATTTTAAAACTTGCAAAAATAGTTCTGTAGAAATGATCATTGTCAGTCTGGGATGGAAGTCTCTTGCTTTGACTTTGCTGAACACCTAGTCATCTCTTCCAGTACAGCTACAACCCAGGCATCTGCCTGATAATGTCGAAAATTGAGATTCTTTAACATGGCTTAATATTTATTTGGAATTAGTTTCTCATGGGCTTTATGTAAAATAAAACTCTTAGAATTAATTACAGTAATATAAAATTACTTATTACCTATTTCTTGAAACACTGGACTATTTGTGTTGTATTTAGTAGGAGGAAAGAGTACTGGCTAAATGGCTAATTTCGCTGAATTTCTGATTGAATCATCATCTTTGAAGTTTCATTTTCTGGCCAGAATGAATGTCCAAGTATTATTTTAACATATAGGTGAATCTTTGACTCTGGATGATAAGACTCACTCTTTTTAAACGCTAGTTAGTGTGAATTGATGCAGTAACAATACCACTGTACTGTCACTTCCCAACAGCTATTTCCTGTCTTGACAAAAAGCAGCACAAATCTCACTCAGGCAATTACTGCCTCATTGGTCTAATCCTGATCATCAGCAAACTGATAGAAAGTGACATTGACAGTCCTGTGAAACACTTAGCAATAACCTACTCACTGGGCTTTCAGTTCAGTTCCCACCAAGTTCCTGACCTTATGATAGCCAAATGTGGACAAAGGAGCTGTATTTCTCAGGTGAGATGAGAATAACTGCCTTTTAACACCAAGGCTACATTTGACTGAGTGCAGCATCAGGTCAGTGGGAATCGGGGTGAAAACACTTCACTTGTTACAGCAATCCCTAACACAAAGGAAGATTGTTATGGGTGCCAGAGGTAATCACTGCAGGAGTTCCTCAGGGGTTTTGTCCTTGGTCCAACCAACTATAGCTGACTCAGCAATGACCTTCCCTTCATCATATTGCTCCCCGATGATTGTACAATATTCAGCCCCCTTCACCACTCCTCAAACACAGAAGCAGTCCACAAATGAGACAAGATTTGATTGAAACAGTTGATACAGTTCCAAGTCAGGATGATGGGTCACTTGCAGGGAATTTGCATTTGCTGGTGTTCCTATGAAAATGCCACCATGTCCTTCTAGATGGCAGACGTCACAGTTTTACAAAGTGCTGGCAAATTCTTTGTCAATGTAGCGGTTTTTCTTGTAAATAGTACATAGTGCAGCCTGTACATGTCAGTGGTGGAGTGAATGTCGGAGGTGCTAGTTGGAAATCAGATTTGCAGAATTATTACAGTGCAGGAGGCAGCAATTTGGTCCAACCCGTATGTGCGAGCTCTGAGAGTGTCTCACTGAGTACCACTCTCCTGCCTGCTGCCCCAACCCAACATGTTGATCCTTTTAATAAAGCCTTATTCTATACATGAATATCTTGATTGAAACACCTAGACTGAAATATCAATCAACTGCTTTGTCCTGGATGGAGTTGACTTTTTGGAATATGGTTGGTGCTGCTGCCATCCAGGTTAACAGAGAGTATACTGCCACACTCCAACTTGTGTCTTGCAGATGGGTGGACAGACTTTGGGAGACAGGAGGTAAGCTAATAACCACAGAATTCCCAGCCTCTGACTTGCATTTGTAACTACGATATTTACTTGGCTAGACCAGTTCAGTTTCTGGTCAAATTTAATTATAGGAAGGATGTGGAAGCTTTAGAGAAGGTGCAGAGGAGATTTACCAGGATGCTCCCTAAAATGGAGGGCAGGTCTTATGAGGGAAAGTTGAGGGAGCTAGGGCTTCTCTCATTGGAGCGAAGGACGAGAGGTGACTTGATAGAGGTGTACAAGATGATGGGAGGCATAGATAGAGTGGATAGCCAGAGACATTTCCCCAGGGTGGAAATGACTATCACAAGGGTGCATAATTTTAAGATGATTGGAGGAAGGTACAGGGGAGATGTCAGAGGTAGGTTCTTTACACAGAGAGTGGTGGGTGCATGAAATGCACTGCCAGCGGTGGTAGTAGAGTCGGATACATTAGGGACATTTAAATGACTCTTGGATAGGCACATAGATGATAGTAAAATGAAGGGTATGCAGGTTAGTTTGATCTTAGAGTAGGATGATAGGTTGGCACAACATCATGGGCTGACGGGCCCGTACTGTGCTGTACTGTTCTTAACTTGCATGACTGCACAAACGCTTTCCCAACACTCAAGACAGGTGAACGGTTTCTCCCCGGTGAATTTTCTGATGTACCTTTAAGCTGGAAAAATGAGCAAATCCCTTCTCACAATTGGAGCAGGTTAGTGGACTCTCTTCAGTGTGTCAGCGTTGATGAATTTCTAGCCAGGATGGAAATCTGAATCCCTTTCCTCGGTCCACACGTTTCCATGATTTTACCAGGGTGCCAGTGTCTACATCTCTCCGGATTGAAGGATTGGTTGAATCCTTGTCTGGAAACAAAACACATACGTGGTTTTACACCCTGCTGTAAATGGTGCAATGTTTTTTGAGTCTGTGTAACTGGTGAAAGTGCTTTCCGTGGTTAGTTCGTTGGAACACACTCATTCGGGTGTGCCTGTGTCTCAGTGATTTTCCAATCACACTGATGTTTGAAATCTTTCTCCTCAGAAAAAACAAACATTTCTCCTTGCACATTAGGAGGGCAGTGATGTTCAGCTCCTGTTGAATGCAGTGACTCTGTTAGGTCTTGACCTGATGTTTCGTTTGGGTTTCCTGATCGAGATCCTGCTCTTCTAATCCCTGTGGCAGGAGATGTCAAACCTGTTCACTGTCAGTAAAGCAGAGAAATCATAAACAGGCAATTCCAGTTTCTGTGGAATATTTTCCTCTCTTGTGCCCTCAAAATTATGAATCCCCGTCCTACACTCTCTCCCACCCTCCTTCATATAAATAGTGGGTAATTCTCTCCAAATCATTCTGATTGTTTAAAACTGGAGACAAGACCCTGTTCCTCCTTTGACTCAGCTGTTAAAAAGACAGCCGCGCAGGCGCACAGTCGATTGGTGAGCAAAGGCGTGCTGCGCATGCTTGAGCACCGGGGTCGGACGGGGGGGCAAGTTCATTGACAAGACTCCAGCCCAATAGGAGGAGGAAGAGTGGAGCCCGGACGCCTGCTTCAACCAATTGGAATCAATGAAGGGGCGGGACAGGACTCAGGAGCGATACATGCAAAGCGCCGGCGCTGGAAGGGCTGAGGGTGGGATTTAAAAGTGCAAAGGGCTGAACCTTGAGACAGAGACATTCCCCACTTACGACCCCAATTAGAAATTCCAATTCTTGCATCTGGAAACTGCTTTGACAGTTGGTTAGAAGGGGAGCAAAAACAAAGTGTTGGAAAAACTCAGCAGGTCTGGCAGCATCTGTGGAGAGAAAGTAAGAATTAGAATTTCAGTGACCCTTCTTCAGAACTGATTGTAGCTGGGAAAGGTTTGGTATATATGCGAAAAAAAAGGAGTGGGGGAAGGAGTAAACAATAGATGGAGATGTACCCCAGAGAGAGACAGAAGATCAATTGGGCAGACAGAGGAATGGGTAAAGGTCAGCCTGGCAGAATGAATAGCTGCTAGTGGGGACTGTTAGAAACTGACGGTGGGTTGTTTGTGGTAGCAGCCCATGTGCTGACAAGGCCTGGTGTGTGGGGTTTGGGGTAAGGACATGGGAGAAGATGCTCAAGCCTTAAAATTGTTCAAGTTGATACTGAATCCAGAAGGCTGCAGGTTTCACAAGTGGAAATGAGGTATTCTTCTTCCAGCACGTGCTGAGCTTTGCTGGAACACTGCAGCAAGCCCAAGACAATGATGTTGGCCAGGGAACACGGCATCATCTGATCTGTGTTGAAATGGCAGGCAACCGAAAGCTCAGGGTCATTTCCATGAACAGAACTTAGGTGTTCTACAAAGCAGTTGCCTAGTCTGCACTTTATCTCCCCAGTGTGGAGGAAGCTACATTGTGAGCAGTAGACTACAGAATACAGTAGACTAGATTGGTGAAGTGCAGGTAAATCGCTGCTTCAACTGGAAGGTGTTTCTGGGGCCTTGAATAGTGAGGGGGGGAGGGTAAGAAGTAAACAGGCAGGCATTACACCTTTTGCAATTGCAAAGGAAGGTGCCGTGGGGAGGCATTGAGAGTGAAGGAATGGACCAGAGTGTCCTGAAGGGAACAGTCCCTGTAGAAGGCTGACAAGGGAGGGGAGTGGAATATATGTCTGGTGGTGGCACCCTGCAGAAGTGGCAGCTAATGATCCTTTGGATGTGGATGCTGGTGGGATAGGCTGTTTTTTATTCTCTCTCTGGGCTAAATCTCCACTTATCATTTACTGCTCCAGCCACCTCTTTAGCACATGTACCAACCTCTTCCCAGCTACAATCCGTTCTGAAGAAGGGTCATTGGACCCAAAATGTTATCTCTCCTTTCTTTCCACAGATGCTGCCAGACCTGCTGAAGTTTCTGATTTCCACCATCCGCAGTTCTTTGGGTCATTTTTTTTTGGTTAGAAGGTACGAATTTATACACAGCAACTTTCAACCGTGAAAAATATTTGGCTTTTTGAATTTCTATCCTGACTGATAGTGAGGAAGTTTCGAAATTTCTTTGACAGTGAGTTGGAATAAACATAAGAAATAGGAGGCAGCATAGGCCATTTCAACCCTTCAAGCCCCTCCAGCTATTTTAAAAGATCATGATTCATCCACCCAGGCCTCCACTCCCTTTTCTGCCAGCTCCTCAAAGCTGTCATTACCCCAACATTTCAAAAATCAATACACATCTTTAATTACTTTCAGTGATCTAGCCTCCACAATTTTCTGGGGTAGAGAATTCCAGACTTCACTATCCTCAGAGGAAAATCTCCTTCCCTTCTCAGTTTTAAATGACAATCCCTTTATTCTGTAAAAGCATACCCGAGTTCGAGAGATCCCCATCACTGGGATCATCTCAACGGTCACCGCATTGTTCTAAACACTAATTAATAACAACCTAGAACAAACACAGAAGATGCTAGAGAAACTCAACAAGTCTGGAAGCATCTAAAGAGGTAAAAAGAGTTAACATTTCGAGTCTGGTAGGACCCTTCAGAACTGAGGCCGAACCTGCTTAGCCATTCTCAATAAGTCAGCCCCTTCATCCTAGGATTCAGCCCAGCAAATCTCTTTCAAACTGTTTCCAATGCTAATATGTCACTTCTTGACAACTGTACACAGTGCTAGAGGTGCAGTCTCACCAACACCTTGTACAGTTGAAGCAAAACTTCCCTACTTTTAAACTCACATCAACTAGCGATAAAGACCTAAATTTTATTTGCCTTCTTAATTACTTGCTGCATTTGCATGATAATTTGGTTTGTGTTTCATGCACAAGACCCATCTGTGTTGCTCTTTTTTTGGAGTCTCTATTTAAATGACGGCCTGCCTCTTGATTCTTCCTGCCAATGAACATGACTTTGCTATATCAAATTGCATTTGCCACCTTTTTGCCCACTGACTCAATCTATATATTATATGTATATATAAGAAATATATACACACACACACACACATTTTTGCAGACTCCTCATCACAATGGGAGAACAGGAGAATTAACAGACCAAACTCAAACCAAGTGTGTTTGGCTCTTCAAATTTCTATCCTAGACTGACAGTAATGGATGTTAGAAACACCATTGTAGAGACTGAGAAGGGAAGGATTTATGTGCAGCAAACTCTACTGAATTTCTGTCCCAGACTGACAGCAATTTTCTGCTGTAAATATCTTTTATTGGACATTGGGGGAAACATTTTCGGGCAGAAAGCTCAACTCAAACATCACCATCATCATGTGCCATCCTGACTTGGAACTGTATCGACTATTCCTTCACTGTCACTGGGTGAAATCCTGGAACTCCCACCTTAACAGCACTGTGGGTGTCCTTACATCTAGTGATGGGCACCAAATGCCAGCCTCGCTGGTGTCACCCACATCTTGTGAAAGGTTAAAGAAAAACAAATCTGGGCAGTCCGTATGATGGAACTGTATATAACGTTGCTCAGGGCACAGTGGAGTAGTGTGTGCAGTTCTGGTCAGTGCACCATTGGAAGGTTGTGACTGCACTAGAGAGGGTGCAGAGGAGACTCACTGGGATGTTCCGAGGATAGAGCAGTTTAACTCCGTACAGAGGCTGGATAGACTGTGATGTTTTCTTCGAAGAAGAGAAGGTTGAGGTGGACCTGATTGAAGTCTATAAAACTATGAGGGGCAGACATAAGGATGGTAAGAAGGAACTTTTCCCTTTTAGTAACAGGATCGATAACAAAGGTACATTGATTTAAGATACAGGGCAGTAGTATTAGAGGGTATTTGGGAAGAAGTTGTTTCAGCCAGAGGATGGTAGGTATATGGAACTCACTGTGTAGGGGCAGGAACAATCACAACATGTAAGAAATATTTTGATGAATGGCCACGGACCAAGTGCTGGGAAATGCGATTGAAGTAGATAGGTACTTGATGATTGACTCAGACACGACAACCCAAAGGGTCTCCTTCCGTGCTGTATCACTCGATGACCCTCTCTAATGCTTCACGTCCTTCCTAAATGCAGCCCCCAAAACCAGACACAACATTCCAGCGTGGACCAAACTGGTGCGTGTCACACAAACTGAAACATAATCTGAACTCCGGGACTGCCCCAGACAGACTGAAATTGAAAACCAAACATGGGGAAATAGACAGCAGATCACTCACCATGAGAAAGTGAGAAGATGAATGGTCACTATTTCGGGTGGGACTTCTTCAGAATGAACACTTCCCACCAGTAGCACCAACCAGACCCTACCTCTATGTCCGCTGAATATGCCTTCGACCACTCATCCACCCATTGCTCATCCATCCATTGCAACCATCCTGGACCAACATTCAGTATTGAGAGATTTTATGGGGATCATGTGCGCTTCTGTATAATTCAAATAGATTAGCTTAGATTATTTAATATATATTCAGTACTTTTAGATATATTTAAACAAAATTATTAACTTAAACTACTTTAGATATCTTGAAATGAGTGAGTTTCACATCCTTTTGCTCATTGAGAACCCTGGCGATTGCTGGCACTTCCAGCTCCATCTCAATTTCCATGGCATCTTCTGTGAACCCAGTGTGATGGCGAAGTCCAACAAACTGAGAGAAGTCCTCAATATTAACAATGTTCTGGACTTGATATCATTTGCTGAATTGTCTTTTCTGAGTACTTTTCCCAAGCATTCCTCTATGCTTGGCAGTCACAAACAAGTCCAAAACAAGTCTCTGTGTCGCTGCAAAACAGCCTGTTCTCATGCCAAGTCCATCTTCTTGCAAAAAAAAAGCCTGTTTTCACATATTTCTCCACTCTCCGTCAATTGCTTATTGCCATGTCCACCCAACCCTTAGTGATCCGGCTTGGAGATATCATTTTATGATCTATACACTACATTCCAACCCTTGCAAGCTAATTATACATTTGGCAAAGTTTACAAGCCATTATACAGATAAATAAAAACAAGAAGCAAACAATTATCGATAGTACAATAAGTCAGGGCCATAGGAGCTACAGTACTGCTCAAGCTTTGGGTGACCACCCCTTTAATATGTCCCACCAATGATACACAGTAACAGTCCCTAAATTGTCCACTGCATGAATTAATTGATCATGACTGTAAGTCATGGCAGTTTCTTGCTGCAATAAGTCATGGTACACTGTGCCAAATGACAGTGAACCTGTTTATGATGTGCAAGCAAAGTCCACAGTTTTGAAATATCACATATTGGAGGTAGCTTATGTAATTGGTTATGGAGTCATAGAGATATACAGCATGGAAACAGACCCTTCAGTCCCACTCATCCATGCCAACCAAGTTTCCCAAACTAAACCAGTTTCACTTGCCTGCGTTCAGCCCATATTCCCACTAAACCTTTCCGATTCATGTACCTGTACAAATGTCTTTTAAATCTTGTAACTCTAGTGGTGTGGTCCTAGGTTATTGCCTGCTATTCTCTCATTCTGTAGATTTTATAACATCATAAATAACATACATTTTCTCACTATATAAGTGGATGGGTAGTTTTCCCTCTCTTATCATTAAGATATATAGCAGAGAACTAGTTACTAACATGTGGACAGGGCCAATTTTGTGAATGATTGTATCATTGACAGTAACTTTCTTCATGTGCGAGTACCCCTGCTAGGCTGCAAAGTACATGGTTCAAACGCAGGGGTATGGGAGAAGCATACTAGACCTTCTGGCCATTGTTCACAATCATCCACTTGTGGGTTTCGAGCTATTTACCATAAACATGGGTTCCCACAACATGTCTCCAAACAGAAGGGGCAATAAACTGGCACCATATTTCCCGTTGTGCACTACTTAAAATCAAAAAGGTAGCATTACATACTGTGACATTACAATTAGTTTTTAATGTATTACGCTTAAGCATTAAGTTAGCGTGTGTGAGACTAAATAACCATTTCCAAGACCACAAATGTCTGGAGAACAATGAGGTGGTTAATTCATGCCATTGTATCAAACAATATAACTCTAAGAAGTTACGCTATGTTCAAATAGCTTCAGCGTTAAGATCCATCTGGGTGTGATGCCCCAGACAGCACTACCAACAAATTTCCAAACCATGTTGGTCAGAGACCAATTTGCTAAATCTCTATGTGCTAATGGTTTGGTCTATACAGCAGATAATTTAATAGCTTCCCTAGTTAGTTACCCAACTTTAGCAATCTTATTTTCCACAGAATTTAAAGTACCTATCTCTGTCCCTGCTCCATCTACAGTGGTAGACAGTACATCATTTCTACTGCACCTCTGTAACATTAGTGGTGTGTGTAAAGGGCGGCAATGGAAGAGGAATTTTTATTTCTGTTATTTCCACTGTCAGAGTCAAAACAATATTTTGTTTGAACGCTGGGGGACACGCATCATACAATTGCTGAAGGTGGGGTATCTGTATGTCATTGGATGGGCCCATCTACTCACCCCACCCTAACCCCACACCCCAGAATCATGTCCCTTTATCTCTGTAACATCATGGACATAATAGCCAGTCACCATTTCAAAGCGCTATATTACACCAATTTTCATGTGAGCTACTGTCAGACACGGCCTACTTTAGGCACTGCCTTCCGATAGTCTTATGTCAGGTCAGAGGTGAGATGTAGTTATTGCTGTCTAGTTTTGTATTGATAATCAGGGATGCAGTGCGATTCCATGTCATACGGTAACAGCAGGATTTTCAGTGAACAGTAGCAAGGTGAGATAGATGACTGAGTTCCTGTTCTCTCGAGAGGGGAGTACATGGGTTGTTACACATGTATGGAAAGTTCAGCATGGCACACTTTTCACCCGGTCAGCAATTAAAATTATTTCGCGTACACTTATCCTCCATCTGACTCCATCCTCTAGATCGTATCCTGTGGTGAGATTGTGCAGGTGATGGCAGATCTCCTGTCAAACAAGGCAGGAGGAAGGAAACACAGGTACTGCAGCAGTCACCACATCATCAGTTTGCTGCAACAAAAATAATTTTTGTTGTTAGTTTAATACCTGATGCATCGTACCATATTCATGTTTGTCTCCTTTGACTGTTTTTTTTCCCAACTGGACACACTGGGATATCTTTACACTGTGATAACATCCAATAAATGTCTCCCTGTCCCATGGGATAACACATTCCCAGGTACAACCACCTGGTCAGGGGTAGCAGATCCATACCTTACCCCCATTACAGACAGACAATTCTGTCATTCACTTGTGGTTATCTGGATATCACTTATCGTTTTGCTCCTGGGTGGGTGGGGCGGTCCCCAAGTTGAGCTTGGTTGTCTAGGTCGTATTCTACCTGGAACAAGACTTGCAACCACCCTGAGTGTCTGTGTAGGTGTCAACAGTTCGATGTGTTGCTTAACAACTCCATTCATATGTTCTACTAACCTTGCTGTGTATACCCTTTGGATCCCATTATCAAGTGCCCAATGCTGAACTGCTTGTCCTGCAAAATATGACCCATCATCAGTTTGTATTTCCACCGGTTCCCTGTATCAGAAGATCAGGGCATGCAACCCTTTTATTGTACTGGTTTGGTTTGCTTTCACACAAGGTTATACGATTGCCAGGTTACCAATTCGGCATTCACCATGATCAAAATCTATTGATAGCGCTGTTGCGAGGACAATGGTCCAATATCGTCTCATTGCAAGATCTATCCTGTGCCTGCACGAGTGGATGCTAAGGGCTCAGTCTGCAAGGGGAATTGTTTCACCTTTCAGCAAGTATTGTGTTGCTCCACTATTTTGTGGGCGATGTCATGCATCAGAGGAATCTCTCACTCCACAGCCCATTGTTTGGTACCTGATACTCAAATTTCCACATGGCGAATTGTTTGAGCTCTTCTTCTGCAGTTAGCCACACAGTGAGTATCTTTGTAAGGCTATCAACTCTTCTATTGCGCACAGCCGTTTCACAGATTTTTTTTTGGTATAGTCGTTAACAGTTTCATTGCGCTTCTTGCTAGATTTCCTCCCATAATTGTTGCTCCGAGGGCTTTCCCTATCATCCAACTGTGTCATCAAAACCATCACATCACTGTCAACAGCCTGAGAACTGGTGAAAACACGCATCGCTCCTGGTTCAGCTTCTTGGGCGAGGACTACATTTGCTCGTTCTGCCATCTGACCTAAGCCAACCACACTTTCCTTTCCTGATATTGTCTGCGTCTTCAGGTTAAACGTAGCAGCTTTCCCGTGACGCTTGCCATCACCGTAGGTTGCACAGCCATCAGTAAGACCAGGCACACTCTGCCACGTCTGCATTTAACTGTTCAACAGGTAAACCCCTTTTTACCGGCCAGTTAGGAAGAGAGTCAGGCAGTGGGGCAATCAGTATTACTGAGATAACTGGCAATCCTTTCACGGAGACTTGAAACTCCATACCTTGGCTGCACTACCCGCAATGTACCACTTCTATTTCATTATGGAGCTCTGTTGCATTCATTACCACCCCCAACTCCTTATTGATGGTACGTCAGACAACGCCCATGTCAAGATGGTGCGCCCTGGCCTTAAAAGGATCTTATCTGTCCCAGTCACTCCCTCAGTTTTCACAAGTTTGGATGTGAATACAGGAGGTCTGGTTAGTAAGTTTGCAGATAACACCAAAATTGGTGGTGCAGTGTACAGCAAAGAAGCTTACCTCTGAGTACAATCGGACGTTGATCAGCTTGGACTGAGGAGTGGCAAACAGAAAATTTAGAGAAATGTGAGGCGCTGTATTTTGATAAAGCAAATCAGGGCAGGACTTATATACTTAATGGTAAGGTCCTGGGGAGTGCTGCTGAACAAACGGACTTTGGAGTGCAGGTTCATAGTTCCTTGAAAGTGGAGTCACAGGTACACAGGGTAGTGAAGGTAGCATCTATACACTTGCCTTCAATGATCAGCACATTGTGTATAGGACTTGGGAGGTTATGTTGCGGCTGTACAGGACATTGGTTAGGTCACATTTGGAATACCGTGTTCAGTTCTGCCCTTCCTGCTATGGGAAAGGCATTGCCAAACTTGAAAGGGTTCAGAAAAAAATTACAAGATGTTGCTGGGGTTGGACGGTTTGAGCTATAGGAAGAGGCTGAATTGGCAGGGGCTATTTTCCCTGGAGCGTCGGAGGCTGAGGGGGTGACCTTATAGAGGCTTATAAAATCATGAGGGCCATGGATAGGGTGAATAGCCAAAGTCTTTTTCCTAGGGTAGGGGAGTCCAAAACTAGACGGCATAGGTTTGTGGTAAGAGAGGCAAGTTTTAAAAAGGTAACTTCTTCACGCAGAGGGTGGTGCGTGTATGGAACGAGCTGCCAGAGGAAGTGGTGAGGCTGGGACAGTTACAACATTTAAAAGGCATCTGGTTGGGTACATGAATAGGAAGGGTGTAGAGGGATATGTGCCAATTGCTGGCAAATGGAACTAGGTCAGATTAGGACGCCTGGTCAGCATGAATGAGCTGGACCAGAGGGTCTGTTTCTGTGCTGTATGACTCTATGATTCTATGACTCTAAATGGCAGAGGAACTGAAGAAGTATTTTGCATCAGTTTTCACAGGGGAAGACATCAGTAGCATACCAGAACTTCAAGAGTGTCAGGAGGCAAAGGTGGCTGTATTGGGCATTACTATGGATAAGGTGCTGGGAAAGCTGAAAGGTCTGAAGTTGGATAAATCACCCAAACCTGATGGACTACAGCCAGAGTTCTGAAGGGGATGGCTGAGGATACTGTGGAGGCATTGGTGGTGATCTTTCAGGAATCACTGGAGTTCAGAGAGGGTCCCAAAGGACTAGAAGATGGCTAATGTAACACCCCTGTTTATGGAGGGAAAGAGGCAGAAGCAGGAACCTGTAGGCTGGTTTGACATTGGTAAGATTTTAAGAGTCCATTATTAAAGATGAGATTGCAAAGTATGTGGAACTGCAAGGTAAAATAGGACTAAGTCAGCACATCTTCGACAAGGCGAAGTCATGGCTGACAAATTTGTTACGATTCTCTGAGGTGGTAACGAGCAAGTTAGACAAGTTCCCTTTTCCATGCCCCTCATGATTTAATAAACCTCTGTAAGGTCACCCCTCAGCCTCCAACACTCCAGGGAAAAAATCCTCTTCAGCCTCTCCCTAGAACTCAAGTCCTCCAGTCCCGGCAACATTCTAGTAAATCATTTCTGCACCCTTTCAGGTTTAACAACATTTATTCCTGTGGAAGAGCGACCAGAATTATGCATGGTATTCTAAAAGTGGCCTCACCAATGTTCTGTACAGCCGCAACATGACGTCCCAACTCCTTTACCCAAAATTCCAACCAATGAAGGCAAGCGTGCCAAACGCCTTCTTCACCGCCCTGTCTTTCTGCGACTCCACGTTCAAAGAACTACGCACCTGCATCCCTAGGTATCTATATATGGAAACACTCCCCAGGGTCCTACCATTAACTGTATAGGTCCTGCCCTGGTTAGCCTTACTTCACATTTATCTAAATCTCCATCTTCTACCTCTGAGCCCGTTGGCCCATTTGATTAAGGTCTTTGTTCCCCAACACTAATTCTCTAGGGTCACTGTCCACTCTTGCCTCTTTGTTACCTTTTATACATCTTAACAAAAAAATCCCTTGAAATCTCGCTAGCTTCCTCTCACATTTCATCTTCTCCCCACTTATTGCTTTTTTAGTTATCTGCTGGTTTTTAAATGCTTCCCACTATTTGTCACCACACTGTATTCTTTGATTTTGCTTTAAAGTTGACCCTGACCTCGCGCCGGAACCAAGGTTGCTTTGTCCACCCCTTTGTATGTTCCTTCTTCCTTGTGTGATAACCCTATTTGTGCTTCTATAAATCGCTTCTTCCATTAATGTTTAAAACAATTATGAGAAGACACTGGGATTCTGTACAAGGCTCATGATTCAGTAGCAGTAAAGGTCAACTAGAAGACCGTTGTGGGTGAGGAACCATAAGGTGAGCATCTGATTGGTAGGGTACCACTAGGAGATTTCCCGGATGAAGGAACTAACTCAACTCAGTAACTCTTCGAAAGGCTTCAGCTCTTTCCTCACCAAACAGTCCTAGAGATGGTCAGAGGGCTTTCGCACATCCGGAGGTCAGAACCGCTAGCCTGAGACTCAAATGCTCTGAATCCTGCCACGTAGCTCACCTCCTTTCTCTCTCTCTCTCTCTCTAACGTAACAATCTAACCTCTGCTACCAACCTTTTGCCTTGTACAACAGGTCGAAGTGCCGGCTCAGGGAAAAGTAGGGGAGTTTTGGGCTAATAATCCGGGTTGTTAAGTCTGTGGCTTTAAGAGGTTGTCTCATTGCCTTTCCTAGAATTTTAACTGGTTCATTTTGTTAGTAAGAAATAGTTATTCCTATTTTATGTCAAACGAACAGTGTCCAAAGTCTTTGTAACAGGTATATCTCGGGCAGAGCACATTCAAGCATAGGTCAATTGGGAAGGAGTTATTGCGATCAGTTCACAAAACTTTCATCACATTGGACCCGTAGTTCTCCATTTTGCATCCATCCGTGTGGTTAATTCCCTCTCCGTGATACTTGGGATGAATACACTGTGTCTCCCGTCATTGCTGCTTTGCCAACTTCCCCACTAGGCTCCCATTCTAATCAACTCTGGCCAGCTCGTCATGTCTTTGTATATCCTTTACTCAAACGTAATGCTGGTACATATGATTCAAAATTTCTCCCTCTCAAACTGCAAGGTTGAATTCTATTGTTTTATGGTCGCTACCCCAGAGAGATTCCTTTACTTTAAGCTCCCTAAACAAGTCTGCCAAATTTTGCATCATCAAATCCAGAATTGCCTGTTCCCTTGTTGGCTCCACCACAAGCTACTCCAAAAAAATTCCTGCAGACATTCCACAAATTCCTTTTCTTGGGATCCACTACCAATCTGATTTCCCCAGGCTACTTGCATATTGAAGTCCCCCATGATTATTGTAATAGTGTCTTTCTTACACGCCTTTTCAATCTCCTGATTTATTTTCTTCCCCGCGCCATCCTGACTACTGCCAGGAGGCCTGTATATAATTCTCACCACGGTCCTTTTTCCTCAACTCTACCCACACAGATTCCAAGTCTATATCACTTCTTCTTATCGATTTCATTTCCTTTCTTACTAACAAGGCACCTCACCCCCTCTGCCCATTGGCATGTCCTTTCAATAAATGTATCCTGGGATTTTTAGGTCCCAGCCCTGATCCTGTCGGAGTCACATCTCTGAAGATACCCACAAAATCATACCTGTCAATTTCAATCTTTGTTTCAAGCCCATTAACCTTGTTTCATATGCTGTGTGTATTTAAGTACAACACCTTCAGTCCTGAGTTGACTGCCCCACTTCTCATAGCTGCCCCCTTATCTTCTGTGTCTAAAGTTAGATTCCTGACCTTTTCCCTCTGTCCTATTTCACATTCTGGAAAATTTCATAACTTCTGCTTAGCCCTCCCACCACTTTTAACTTTTTCCATAATTTTCGATGTAATTAAATCCACGCCCTACTATTTAGTTAAAATCTTATCCACACTGCTAATTATGTAATTTGCAAGAACTCTGGTCCCAACATGATTCATGTGGAGCCCCATTCAACGGAACAGCTCCCTCCCTTCCCAGTACTGCTGCCAATTTCCCATGAATTTGAACCCATTTTCCCCAACACTGATCTTTGAGCCACACGTTTACCTCTTTAATCTTGTTGACCCTGCGCAAGATTAGTTTGTGGCTCAGGTAGTAATCCAGACATTATTACCTTTTTGGTACTTTCTCTTTCAATTTAGCCCCTAGCTGCTGATATTACTTTAGCAGAATCTCTTTCCTGGTTCGACCTGTGTAGTTAATACCTTTGTGGATCACGACAACTGGATCTTTCCCCTCCCACTCTGCAGCTCGGATAGGATATCCTGAATCCAAGCACCAGGTAGGAAATACTCTTGATCCTGCCCACACAGAACAGGGTCTATTCCCCTGACTATACGATCCCCGATTACAACTACATTTCTCTTTTCTTCCCTGTCTTGAATAGCTCCTTGTACCACAGCACTGTGGCCAGTTTACTCATCCTCCAACCAGCCCCTCCTCTCATCCCTACAGGGAGCAAGAATCTCAAAACTGTTTGACAAGCTCAAGGGCTGAGGCTCCTTCAGAACTATCTTACGGACCCCCTGCCTGCCTCGGTCTTGCTCACATCCTCCAGTCCCTGACCACTGACTGAATTCGGGGTCGTTAATCCCGGGGCGGGGTGTGACACCTCCTGAAACACAGCATCCAGGTAACTCTTCCTCTCCCTGACGTGTCACAGTGTTCAAAGCTGAGACTCCAACTCATCGACTCTGAGCCATAGGTCCTCAAGCAATCACCACTTGCTGCAGATGTGGTCACTACCAACCACAATGGGGTCTGCCAGCTCCCATATCATACAGGTACAACACATCACCTGGTCCTGCATCTCCAGCTTATCTACTTCATTCTTAATTTGATTTTTAAAACTTTCCTACTGATATTTTAGTTTGTAACCTGTAAATATTTCCCCTATTTACCTTCAATCTGATGGTAATCTATGAAAAACAGTTACATTTGTAGCTACAACCAAGCAATGAAGTTATTGTCTTACTGAGATGTCACTCTTTGTATTGTGCTGGGCCCTATCCTCGGCTTCAATTTATCATTTTAAAAAGACCTTACAAACAACAAGACAAAAAGGAAGCAGAAAGCATCTCCTGCCCTCCACGCCGAATTCCGACACTGCCTACGAGTTCCCCAAACTATGTACTCACTTAAGCCATCTCTCATTCTGGATGTGATCTCGCCTTCCTGACAGTGCGCAGTTTACAGCAAGTCCTCTGGTGCTGCTGTAAGTTGGATAACTGAGTGAAACTCTTCCCGCAGTTAGGGCAAGCGAACGGTTTCTCTCCAGTGTGCGTTCGCTGGTGTACACGCAAGGTGGATGACTGAGCGAATCCCTGCCCACAGTCAGAGCAGATGAACGGTTTCTCCCCGGTGTGAATTCTCCAGTGTTCGCATAACTTAGAAGACTGAGCAAATCCCTTCCCACACTCAGAGCAGGTGAATGTTTTTTTTCCAGTGTGAGTTCCCATGTGTGAATGTAAGTTGGATAACTGAGTGAATCTCTTCCCGCACTCAGGGCAGATGAATGGCTTTTCTCCGGTGTGGGTTCTCCGGTGTTGATGTAAGTTCACCAACTGAGTGAATCCCTTCCCGCACTCAGGGCAAGTAAACGGTTTCTCTCCAGTGTGAGTTCTCAGGTGTTGATTTAAGTTGGACAACTGAGAGAATCTCTTCCCGCACTCGGGGCAAGTGAATGGTTTCTCTCCAGTGTGAGTTCTCTGATGTTGATTTAAGTTGGACAACTGAGTGAATCTCTTCCCGCACTCAGAGCAGATGAATGGTTTCTCTCCAGTGTGAATTCTCTGGTGTACCTGCAAAGTGGCTGACTCTGCGAATCCCTTCCCGCAGTCAGAGCAGGTGAATGGTCTCTCCCCGGTGTGAGTTTCCTTGTGTGAATGTAAATTGGATAACTGAGTGAATCTCTTCCCGCACTCAGGACAAGTAAACGGTTTTTCTCCGGTGTGAGTTCGCTGGTGTTGCTGTAACTTGGATGACTGAGCAAATGCCTTCCCACACTCAGAGCAGGTGAATGGTTTCTCCCCAGTGTGAACCTTCTGGTGCACATGTAATCCAGATACATTAGCGAATCCCTTACCACATGTGGTGCAGATGAATGATTTCTCCCTGGCATGATGTCTCTGGTGTACCTGTAAGCTGGATAAATGAGCAAATCTCTTCTCACACTTCGAGCATGTGAACATTTTTTCTTCAGTGTGTGTTCCCTGGTGTACCTGTAAGGTGGATAACCGAGCGAATCCCTTCCCACAGTCCGAGCAGATGAATGGTTTCTCGCCAGTGTGAGTTCTCCGATGTCGATATAACTTGGAAGACTGAGCAAATGCCTTCCCACAGTCGGAGCAGGTGAATGGTTTCTCCCCAGTGTGAATTCTCTGGTGTACATGTAAAGTTGATGAATGAGCAAACTCCTTACCACACTTGGTACAGATGAACGGTTTCTCCCCGGTGTGAATTCGCTGGTGTACATGTAAACTGGATAAATGAGCAAACCCCTTACCACACTTGGCGCAGGTGAATGATTTCTCCCCAGTGTGAGTTCTCTGATGTATCTGTAAGCTGCATAAACGAGCAAATCCCTTTCCACATGTGGAGCAGGTAAATGGTTTCTCCCCAGTGTGTTTGCGCCGATGAACGTCCAGCCTGGATGGAAATCTGAATCCTTTTCCGCACTCCACGCATTTACATGGTTTCTCCATGGTCTCCAGGGCCTTTGTGTCCTTCCAGACTGAAGGATCAGTTCAATCCTTGTCCAGACACAAAACACGTGTGCAGTTTCTCCCTGCTGTAAATGGTGCAATTTTTTAAAAGTCTGGGTGACTGGTGTAAGCGCTTTCCACAGTCAGTTCACCAGAACACTCTCATTCAGGTGTGTCTGTGTCTCGGTGATTTTCCAGTCACACTGATGTTTGAAATCTTTCCCCTCAGACAAACATTTCTCCTTGCACAGCCAGAGGGCAGTGATGTTCAGCTCCTGTTAAATGCGGTGACTCTGTCAGATCTTGACCTGATGTTTCGTTTGGGTTTCCTGATCTAAACCCTGCTCTTCTAATCCCTGTGGCAGAAGATGACAAACCTGTTCACTGTCAGTAAAGCAGAGAAATCATAAACGGACAATTCCAGTTTCTGTGGAGTATTTTCCTCTCTTGCTCCCTGCAAATTGTAAATCCCCGTCCCACACACTCTCTCTGTCTCCCACCCTCCTTCCTGGGTGAAACCCCTATAAAAATGTTGGATAATTATCTCCAACTCATTCTAACTAAATGGTTATAACTGGAGACAAGACACAGACCCAGACACAGACCCAGTTTTCTGAAGAAGGGTCTAGGCCCGAAACGTCAGCCTTCCTGCTCCTCTGATGCTGCTTGGCCTCCTGTGTTCATCCAGCTCCACACCTTGTTATCACAGACACACACCCTGCTTTGAAGCAGCTGCTAAAATGGCTGCCGCGCGTGCGTACAGACACTCCGGGAGCAAATACGCGCTGCGCATGCCTGCGTCTGCCACCGGGCTGGATGATTGACGGATGTTCCGGACCAATGGGGAGAGAGGGGGCGGTCCTGGAGGACCATTTGGCTGCTCTGGTCCTCCAACCAATCGGAGTCAACGAAGGGGCGGCACAGGACTGCAGGGGGCGAAAATGAAGTGCTCTTCTTCCAGCTTGCGCTGAGCTTCGCCGAAACACTGCAGTGAACCCAGCACAGAGATGTTGGCCAATACAGGGGTGTTGAAACAGCAGACATCTGGATGCTCAGCGCCATATCTGCAGACAGAACAAAAGTGTTCTGCTAAGCAGTCACCCAGGCTGCACTTTGTCTCCAGAATGTATAGGAGACTACATTGTGAGCAGCAAATACAGTAGGCTAGATTGAGTGAAGCGCAGGTAAAATCAGGCTTCATCTGGAAGCTGTGTCTGGAGCCTTGGACAGTGAGGAGGGAGGAAGTAAACACAGGATGTGTCCCAGAAGAAGCAGTCCCTACAGAAGGTTGACAAAGGAGGGGGGGGGCAATACGTATCTGGTGTGGCAACACACTAGAAGTGGCAGAAATGGCAGCTAATGATCATTCGGATGTGGATGCTGGTGGGATGGGCTGTTTTTCACTCTCTCTCTGGGCTCCATTTCCACTTTGCATTTATGCCTTCCATCTCTACCCAACCCTTCTTTAGCATATATACTAACCTTTTTGCAGCTAAATCAGTTCTGAAGAAGGGTCACTGGACCCAAAATGTTACTTGATTTATTACAGTCACACATATCGAGGTACAGTGAAGTCTTGCCTTGTGTACTTGACAGGCAGATCGTACTATACAAGTCCATCAGCGTAACAGAATAGAGTGCAGGATATAGTGTTACAGCTGCCAAGATGCAGAGAGAGATTAACATTAATATTGGAGAGGTCCATTCAAAAATTTGATAACAGCAGGGAAGAAGCTGTTCTCTGCTATCTCTCCACAGGTGCTGCCAGAACTGCTGTTTTTTTTTCAGCAAATTCTGGTTTCATTCCTGATTTCCACCATACACAGTTCTTTGTTTTGTTTTGTTTTGTTAGAGGGAGACAATTTATACACTGCAACTTCCACCCAAGAAAACTGTTTGGCTCTTTTGAATTTCTATCCTGACTGACAGAGGGGGAGTTTGGAAATTCCTTTGACAATGGGTTGGAATAATTATTAAGAAATAGGAGCAGGTGGAGACCATTCATTCCCTCAAGCCTGTCCAGCTATTTTAAAAGATCATGGTTCATCTGGCCCAGGTTTCCATTCCCTTTTATGCCAGCTCCCAAATACCCTAACATTTCACAAATCTGTACACATCGTCTTTAATTACTTTCGGTGATCTAGCCTCCACAATTCTTTCGGTAGAAAATTCCAGACCTTCACTACACTTTTCAGGGGAAAATTTCCTTCCTTTCTCAATTTTAAATGAGAGTGCCGTTATTCTGTAACAGTGTACCCTATATACACTCATGGCACCATCTCAACATCTATCCTTTCAAATCCACAGCCCCCACCACCTCCCAAATGTGGATGCTGGTGGGATGGGCTGTTTTTCTCTCTCTCTGGGCTCTGTCTCCACCTATCATTTACTCCTTCCCTCTCCATTTTTCAAAAGTGTACCTTATATACATCTATCCTGTCGAACTGTGCAATACTTGCATGTTGAGACCGTTTAATTTAGGCTGAGTAGTAGAGTTAAAATAATACATGACTAGGAGTACGAAGTAGGGAAACTTTAGCTTAATGAAACAGTACATATTGCTGTAACTGCAACCTGCCTTTCCCTAGCCTGAGAAGTCACATAGGATAGATAGCAAAAGCTAGAGCTCGCAGCATCTGTACACTCTTATCTTCACCGCATTCTGCTTTAATTAATGTATGTCTGGTTGCCTAAGTAATGACCTTGCCTTGCTAAAACACAGTACAATTGCAGTTTGTTTTAACTGGTTTGTACCACTGTATAAATTCTGCTTCTTTTTTGTACTTGTCGGAGTCTTCGGACCTGACCTTTTGTCAACGTTGGCTCTCTGTGATATCACGAATAAAATCTCTTTGCCTCAAAGTCTGGGCCTTTGGTGTGATTTAATCTAAGCTCTTCGACACAAATCCACCACCCCCCCCACCCTTGGAATATGTTTCAATAAGGTCACCCCCTTGTTCTAAATACTAATTAACAAAGGCCTAAAACAAACATTAAATGCTACGAAACTCTCAAAGTTCTGGCAGCATCTGTGGAGAGTAAAAGAGTTAATGTTTTGAATCTGATATGACTCTTCTTCAGAACTGAGACCTAACCTATTTAGCCATTCTTGATAAGCCAACCCCCTCATCCTGGTAATCAGCCTAGTGAATCTCTTTTGAACTGTTTCCAATGGCAGTATATCACTTCTTTAAAATTGTACACAGTGCTACAAGTGCTGTCTCTTGTACAGTTGAAACAAAACTTCCCTATTTGTAAACTTAGATGGCCCAGCAATAAAGACCCAAATTATATTTGCTTTCTGAATTACTTGCTGCACTTGCGTGATAATTTGTTTTGGGTTTCATGCACAAGACCTCTCTGTGCTGCTCTTTTTTTTGAAGTCTCTATTTAAATAACAGCCTGCCTCTTGATTCTTCCAACCAAATGTTCATGACCACACACTTTGCTCCATTAAAACTGCATCTGCCATGTTTTTGCCCACTCACTTGACCTGTAGCATTGCAGATTCCTCAGATCCTTATCACAATAGGAGAATTAACACGCAACTAACTCAAACAAGAGAAGTATTTGGTTCTTCTGAATTCTATCCTACCCAGTTAATGATGGATTTTGGAAACTCCAATGATAGGGGTCGAGAAGGGGAGGATTTATGAGCAACAGACTCGACTGAGTTTCTGTCCAAACTGACAGAGATTTTCTTTTATAAATATCTTTTATTGAACATTAGGGGAAACATTTTCAGACAGAAACCACAAACCAAACCACCATCACATACCATCCAGATTCGAACTGTATCGACCGATCCTTCACTGTCACTGGGTGAAATCCTGGAACTCCCTGCACGACAGCATTGTGGGTGTCCCTACACTACACAGGCTGCTGTCATTAAAGAAGGAAGCTCACCACCACCTTCTCCAGGGCATTTGGTGCCAGCCTTGCTAGAGATGCCCACATCCTGTGAAAGATTAAAGAAAAACAGATCTGCACTCTCAACAGAACAGATGGTTAAGAAGGCATTTCAGACATTTGCCTTTATTTGTTGAGGTGGTGAACACAGGATGTAGACAATGTTGCTCAGGCCACAGCTGGAGTATTGCATGCAGTTCTGGTCACTACACTGTCAGACGGTTGTGACTGCACTAGAGGGGGTGCAGAGGAGATTCCCAGGGATGTTCCTAGGATGAAGCAGTTTAACTATGAAGAAAGGCTGGATAAGCTCCGGCGTTTTCTTTGAAACAGAGAAGATCAAGAGAGGACCTGATTGACATTTCAAAATTGAGAGGCAGACACAGGGATGATAAGCAGAAACTTTTCCCTTTTAGTAATAGATTTAATATACAGAGCAGAAGCATGAGAGGGTATTTGAGAAGAAATCGTTTCAGCAAGACGGTGGTAAGTATGTGGAATTCACTGCATAGAGGAAGGAACCGCCACAACACTGAAGGAATACTGTGACGAATGGCTGTGGAGCAAGTGCTGGGAAATGGGATTAGAGTAGATAGGTACTTGACGACCGACTCAGACATGATGACCCAAAGCGTCTCTTTCTTTGCTGTATTACTTGATGACCCTCTCCAATGCTTCACATCCTTCTGGATGTGTGGCCCCCAGAAGTGAACACGACATTCCAGCTGAGACCTAACCGGTGTGCCACACAAAATGAAACATAACCTGAACTCTGCAACAGCCCCAGACAGATTGAAATGGAAAACCAAACATGGGGAAATAGAGAGCAGATCATTAATTATTAGAAAGTGAGAAATTAGTGGTCACTTTTTCGGGTAGGACTTCTTCAAAATGAACAAGTGCCAACGACTCCCCATCTCCAAATCCACCGAACATTCCTTCGATCACTCATTCATCCATCCATCCATCGCTTATCCATCCAATGTCTCCCATCCCGGACTGACATTCAGTATGAGCTGATTTTGGAGGTGGGAGGAACATGTGAGC